GATAGATAGATAGATAGATAGATAGATAGATAGATAGATAGATAGATAGATAGATTTTTAACTGATGATTAAGCTAAAGGATTTGTTTTAAAATGAGGTATCCAGGGGGAAAAAGAGAGAGATAGAAAAAGAGAGAAAGAGAGAGAGAGAGAGAGAGAGAGAGAGAGAGAGAGAGAGAGAGAGAGATTTATTTTTAACTGATGATTAAACCAAAGGATTGAACAAACAAAATAAACCACCACACCACCCATTTAGATGGAAGTCAAACTGCAGGCTTGGAGGCCAAAAAGAGAGGAAAATTGGAAAAAAATAAATAAAGCTCAGCAAAGGAGAGAGAAAAAAAGAGGTTTTAAAATTTCCACCCAGCCCCATCTCCCTGCCGTTTTCTTTTCCTTCCTTACGTCTCTTCTTGCCCCCCAGAGAGCAATTTTATTTTTCAAACTGGGCCCCCAATGGGCATGTTTTGATTCCTGATTTCCAGGGTTTGGGGCCTGGTAGAAATCTCAATTTCAAAACAGAGCTGGAGGGGCCAACCTGGGTGTGCAGAGTTTGTTTGGCGTTTTAGAGGCGGCAAAGCCAAGGTTTGCTGACTAGACCTGAATCCAACCACCTTATGGCACAGCGTGTTGTCTGAATCCAACCCCTGTCATCAGTAACCCTGAGTTTAGGACTCCTATATCCCCAAGGAATCTTGTTGGGAATTATGACAAAATGGTCATGGAAGCGGTGTATACCCAAGTCCCTGCAAATTTCCCATGAGTATGCCAATTCATGGCCACCAAGCCAAGGAGAATGAAAATTTGCCAGAGATGGTACTTGAGGTCCACAAAATGTATTTCCAACAATGCTGGGCACTGTTGGGGCAAGCTAGGAAAAGCCTTCGCCCTGATTCTAGATCGGGTGCAAAGTGGCAGAGGAGAGAAGCAGAAGGATGGAAAAACTCACAGAGATTTCCAAATAGCACATCTTGCTTTTTCTCTCACAAGAGTGTTGCGAGCGTGCAAAGTGTCCTGAAGGGCTTTGTTTGGGGGGATGAAACCCGGGAAGAACTTGAAGGAAAAGCATGTGCCCCTGATCTTGTACGTACAGATCAGACCCGCATTCCCAGCCACAAATCTGGGAAGTGGCATGGGGGTCTGTTGCTCCCTTCCTCATCATCTTGCTCCCCTCCGTGGCTAAACTGCAGCGCTGACCCCACCCATCAGCAAAGGGACTGGGAAAGGCACTCAGTTCCTGCTTAGCATGGCTGGAAGATGAATGGAGCCTCTTCCAGGCCCCTGCAGGAAGAGGCTGGAAAATCCAGCTTATTTGAAGGGTGACAGGTTGGGAAGAACTGAGGCAAGAGAAGTTGGAGCAAGAATGACTTGAAAGGAGAATTCAACTGAACGTTCACCCTGTTCTACACTCTCACCATGGTTGAGAACTGAAAAAAGTGTTTGGGCACATGAGTGAGTGAGTGAGTGAGTGAGTGAGTGAGTGAGTGAGTGAGTGGAGGAGGAGGAGGAGGAGGAGGGGGAGAGGGAGGGGGAGAGGGAGGGGGAGAGGGAGAAGGAGAAACAGAAACAGAAGGAGAAGGAGAAGGAGAAGGAGAAGGAGAAGGGAAGGAGAAGGAGAAGGAGAAGGAGAAGGAGAAGGAAAAGGAGAAGGAGAAGCAGAAGCAGAAGGAGAAGCAGAAGCAGAAGGAGATATGGGTGTGGTAGGAGAAGGAGAAGGAGAAGGAGGGAGGAAGATAAAAAGAAAAGCCAGCTGTCAAAAAGAACATCTTCAAGAGAAATAGGAGTCCAACTGGCCCATCTTCCTTTAGGGGCTAAGGAAAAACCAATGAGTGGGTTGGGCATCTTTTGGGCCCTTCCCCAGTCGAAAGTGGACCAATGAAACATATTGGAACATTCACAACCCAAGATCCATCTGTCCCCATCCCCGTCCCCATCCCCCTATCTATCGGCGCCCCTAGGGAGACCAGTCCAGGAATCAACTCCCCAGGAAGGCTAAGGCTCCTTTGAGATTGGCTACCATAACAGGACCTTGCAAGTCGGATTGTGTTGGACCTCCTCCTCTTCTTATACTCCTGTGAATCAGGGAGGTGTCTCTCTGAGCGGCTTCCAAATGTTATCTGCACGTTCTGGACTTAAAAAAGCTTCATCCCCTTTTGCCCAGGGAACAGTTCCTGCATATCTCAGTCAAAGAGTTCCTTGCTCTCTTTCTGTCTAGATCAGTAGTTTTTAAACCATTTGACTCAATGACCCCTTTTCCCCATCTCGAATAATATCAGTGCCCCTCTCACACACAAAAAGACTCATGTTTTGCACAAGCGTCTTAAACCTCAACTTACAACAAACTGCTTCATTACCCCCAGGATATGCCCCAATTACCCCCAGTTTAAGAACCGCTGGTCTAGAGAAATTGTGTGATTTCATGAGCTTAAAGACAAAAAAACACATTTCATGGATGCCTGACATTTCCCCCTCAACGGCTTCTTGGGCAACCCCTAACCCACCCACTCTCTCAAGGAGGATGCATCACGGACCCTAATAGTTTAATGAAGTTTGCAAGCTTTGAAAAAACGCTCAAAATATGCACCGGTTTTGTACCCAGGGAGGGGGAAACAGATCAGAGGTCCTCATTCCGGCATTCACTCCAGTCTCTGCAAGCCCACCTAGGCAGCTAATTGGATGCTCCATCATCATCATCTTTTGAAAGCTCAAACCAGAAAAAAACCACACAGCTACACACCTACTAGCCCTGCGTGTCTTCCTATCTGAGTTATTTGGGGCTACAGAAAGGAAAATATCTTTTATAATGCCTCCGTTTTCTGCTTGAAACCTTGGGGGCTTCTAACAAAAGAGGTTCTCAGCATCTTGAGATGTTCTCTCCTGGCTTCCCTAGCAGCGCCTAAGGCGATGGTCCTAGCCATCTCCAAGCCCTGAAGTGACAGCCAAGCCTGCAGGGGACAGAAAGTTGGGTGGGGGGAAGGCATTCTGCAAAATAACCCAACAAACCCCAGGAATCGTCTAATTCCAGACAAGGAAACTTCCCTGTAGTTTCTGCACCTCATTTCCTGCGTGTCTCAACCATGCCTCCTCTGCGCCCTTTGAGCTTCCCGTCTTTAAGATTTTACTTTGGGAGATCAAGGTTAAACTGAGAAAATAAGAGGAGGAGACGCTTCCCCAAACTTGGGTTGATTGTTTCAACGTGAACAAAACAATTCCAGGTTGACAGCTCAGCGTCCTGTTCTGCCCGATGACGCTGCTTGGCCAAGTCTCTACCTACGTCAACGGAGAGTCTCTCCTCGCCAAGCGACGGAAACTATGCATCCTGTTTGAAAAGCGTTAATTGAATGTCTCCGTTCCCCTCCGCTTGATTCCCTTCTAGCTGACCAGAGATCCCGGCACTCATTCTGCGTTGGATAGGGCCCAAATATTCAGCCCGTCTTGCATGATAATTGGGGAGTCCACCAGCCTTTCTCCTCCACCCCGAGCATTTTCCCCTGATTTCTGCAGTGTTTTAAAGGCAAGATGAGGGCCATTAACCTTTTCAACTCATAAAAAATGTGGAGTCCTTGGTGCTCTCTGAGCTGGGTGGTTTGCTTGCAGACGTTTCGTTACCCAACTAGGTGACATCATCAGTGCTATCATCAATTATCAGTGCATGGTCACTAATCATCAACGGCACTGATGATGTTACCTAGTTGGGTAACGAAACGTCTGCAAGAAAACCACCAAGCTCAGAGAACCCCAAGGACTCCACAGTTCAACCCAGAGCTACATCTATTCTCTTCTATTGGAATCACAAAAAAATGTCTGAAAATGTTGACTTTTCTATTCTGGTTTTCTGGAGTCACTGGTCACACCTTCTCAGGCTTTTAAGAGCTAAAGAATGAATGAATGAATGAATGAATGAATGAATGAATGAATGAACGAACGGATGAACGAACGAACGAATGAACGAACTACAGCAGCCCTGAAAAAGTCTTCCACCTGTCTAGACGAGGATTTGGTATGGACAATTCTGAATTTAATGGTGGTGTGAAAGAAACAAGCAGAAACTCCATGGTAAGAACAAACAAACTGTTGATTAAGACATCTTATTTTCAACTGGATGGCCCCTGGAGCAGGAATAACAAAATACTTGTGTCTGAAAGGGGCCACAGTGGAAAACAGCAACTGTTCTCCAAACATGGTGGTGAACTTACTGGAGGCTCCCGATTCTCATTGAGGAGATGTACAATTCTACACAATTTGTGTCTTCTTATCACAAAGAGAATTATCCTTCAACATTAGAAAGATAAATCTTGCAGTTTAGAAGTATGCCTGGCTGTAATATAATCATCGATTACAACTGTTGAGTAGAACTTCCTGTACATGAATCTCATATATAGACATACATATTTAATTTTTTCATTGTTTTGCTTCCTTTTTTCCTTCTGTTTTCTGTTCTACTTCATTAAATAAATTAAGGATTTTTTTTTTAAGGAATACTGGATGTCTTGGGCTCTTGGCCTGACCTTGCCATTCTTACCCAAAAATGAGGAAACTGGAATAAAATCAGAGGGAGAAAGGAAGCACGTCTTTCAGAAGAACTGACCTTAGATCCCCACTGGCTTCCTTTGAAACGATCATCTTTCATCAAGTTAGACAAGATAAGTTCCATTTTCATCTCTGAAACGCTGGAAAGGGAAAGACCACAGAATTAAACGACAACAGAACCGTCAGTCGCAACTCTCCAGATTTAAAACCTAGGCATATATTTTAAAAAAAAAGGAATTCTCAAGAATCACCCCTTATTTTCACCTCCTAGATCAAAGCCAAGAAGGATAACATCAACCCTCATTCAGTCTGTGCTTCTTCGAATTTGGTGACGGAAGCTGCAATTCCACAAAATAAACCAACTTTCTTTTTGGGGTTGTTTTTTCCCCACAAGTTTGCTTGGACATAAAACTTAGAAAGGCAGGTTTGAGGAGAACGTTATTTCCAGAAAGGCATGTCGGTGTATTTATTTTTTCAAATATATGTCCTGTGCCTCGATGACCTTGTGGCAATCTGCAACGGCCGGCAAGACAAAGCTTAAATACGGGAAGACAGAGCTAAAATAGGGACAGATTTAGCTAGATTAACAATAGCGTTAAAATAGGATTACACTTTAAAATATTTAAAAGTGACTTGCATAGAGTAGACACAGGCAGGCGCGTCAGCAAACTGGCATGTGGATTTCGGATGTAAATTCTGAAATGTAAAGTCTAGTTCTTTGTAGAGCATTTTCAACCCCTTTTAAGTTTGAGGCACCAGAAGGTGGCAGAACCAGGAAACTTTGCCTGGATTTGGAAGCGAAGCAGAATCAGTCCTGATTAATATTGGATGGGAGACCAACAGGAAATGCCAAGTTAGGCAAGCTTTTAAAAAAATTATCCCTTCTGGCCTGTTTGGCGCTACAGGCAGCCCTCGACTTACAACCACAATTGGGACCAGAACTTCCGTTGCTAAGCGATGCGGTTGTTAAGTGAGTCATGCCCGGTTTTATAACCTTTTTTGCTATGGTCGTTAAATGAATCACATGGTTGTTAAGCGAATTCGGCTTCCCCCATTGACTTTGCTTGTCAGAAGCCCCCCGGGAAGGTTGCAAATAGTGGTCACGTGACCCTGGGATGCTGCAACCATTGTAAATACATGCTGGTGGACAAGCACCTGAATTTTGATCATGTGACTGCGGGGACGCTACAATGGTCGTAAGTGCGAGGACAGGTTGTAAGTCACTTTTTTAGTGCGGTTGTAATTTCAAATGGTCATTAAACGAACGGTCATAAGTCGAGGACTACTTGTAGAGCATACCCAAACAAGCAGCATTGGTTTAGATTGTTTTGTTCTTCTTCCCCAACATCCTTCAAACAATGCTCAGGCGTGTCGGGGGATGAAAGCATTGAGGCTTATAACAGCGATCCACCAGGAGAAACCACCCACTCTCACATCCATAGTTCCTCCTTTATTCAAGCCTGTTGGCAACAGATCAGATCAACACACTTGGTTCATACAGCAGGGAGAACATCTCGGAGACTGGGTGGTGAGTGCGGGCGCGTACGTCCTTGATGGGAGATCTGCCTCTTCTGATAAAGTCCTCGCAGCAGCCGTTGCGAAATAAAGCAACGACGGGACAAACTGCCTGAAACAAAACTGGCGCTGTTTGGATGACAACGCTGTCACTTTGCAACCATCGGCTTTTCATGCTTCTTCTAAGTCTTGCTTAAAGGTACCGGGAGAGAAAGGTGCAAAACACACATGCGCGCGCACACACACGTCAGCATCCGCCTTTGGTTTCCTCGCGTATCTCTTCTTTGGAAGCGTTGCAGAAGACCTATCCGTCATTCCCACAAAAGGACTCACAAACAACAAAACACACTCTAAAAAAACCCAAGGTATCTAAATATTAAATAAACGCACAACTTTCTTTCCCCCCCAAAAGGCAGCCGCTGTCTCTCATTACAAACAAGCCATCTGGGGAGGGTTGACATCTCAATTAACCATTTATAGGCGGCAAACAAACCCGATCTTCTTGCCTCCGGCCTCAGTTCCGTTCGCCTCTGTCGGAGGAATCTGTAAATTGGGTACAACAGGACTATTTACGAGGATTGCAGGGAGGGTGGGACATCGTTTGAAACCGGGGATTCCAGCAACGCCAATTTCAAGGAACGACGGAAACGACAGGCGAGCCTCAAATGCAACGTTGCTGACTCTTCCTTTATTTTTCTTGCTTTGTACGCAAACCCACCTTGATATACTCAGAAACCCACCACTGGGAGTTTCTGAACTTGGCTTTGTCGGGTCCACACCCAGCAAATTAAAACAGTCCTCAGCAGGCTCCCCCAGAGACGTTCATCAATCCTCCGGATCCATCTGAGCCCCAAGATCTGCAGAAGTGCTAACCAGTTCCTACCTCCTATAGAAGGAATATTTGGGGGAACAGCACGTCAAATGACTTTTCCCAGAAAAATGGGCTGCTGACCTCCACTTTCAGCACCCGGAAAGTTCAGCCCCACACCTTATGACAGGGGAATTTGTAATTTATGGGAGAAGAAAATAGGCTTTGGGTCTCAAAGCAATCCATAATAATGAACTTAAAGTTGTCAACTCAGCTGTGGGCTGAGTTGCTGGAAATCGTAGAACCTCAACATTTATTCAGAACCCTCGTTTTAACAGGGTTATAATGTTCTATTTTAAGGCAGTTTTTGTTCCGTGAACGGTCAAACGCTTGGCATTATTGGGCAGGGGTCTCAATATGATAAATAGGTAGATATTCATAGCTAACATGGAGATGTTGCTAATGACAGCCCCTACTTGATCTTGGCTGATTTGGGGGAAGCTAAGCAGGGCTGGCTTTGGTTAATCTTTGGATGGGAGACCAGCAGAAGATCTAGTCCACACCAGGAAGTTTAAAAAATATCCCCAAAGAAGGGGATGATAGAACTCTTCTTTACAATGATGAAAAAAATGTTGAGAATCTCTCCATGTAATCACTTTGAGCTCATTTCCAAGACAACTTTAAGTTCATTATGGCCTTGTTAGTCAGTAGTAAAATCTATTATTTGATTTTTTGTTCCCCCTTGCTGTTTCCATGGCATTTGCTCTCCTTTTCTTGTAACTGCAACCCTCCACAAAATCATGCAAACAAGCCAATAACTTATGACGCTATGTCGAGCAAGGAGATAACCGGACATAAAGCTGATCATCTTCTCAGTTTAAAAATGTCTTTCCTCATCCCCATGTTAAAACGCCCAGGGATGACCAATGGAGGTGGTTACTATTCAGTAACTTAGTTTGAACTAAGAATTGATACCTCAGCCTGTTCCTTTCCTCTTCCCTCCCCATGTCTCTCTCCTTTAGAGTCGTACCTCTTGAGACGGCAAGTCGGCAGGTTTACAACCTTCTCATAGACCACAAGCCATTTTTTGAGGTTATCCGAAAAGTCAAACAAGACTTTAAACCAATAAACATGATGATAGCCTCATCTGAAGAATTTTATCAAGGGGCACCCCTCCCCACAAAGACAAAATAGCGAATGCGTTTTTGCTTCAGACATGCTCAACTGCCTGGAACTTCCAAGAATGATAAAGTAACACATCAAAGGGAGGGGGAAAAATGACCAGCTTTTGAAAAATGCTCAGAATTGCCACGAACATCTCTGCCCCAATGCGGTTCCCACTTGTTAGTTCCACTTTGCCCATTAAAGAGACAGGGAAGAAGATCCTGATCAATGTTTTCCAAAAAGCGGCCGACCGGCTTCGCTCTCCACACACCAGCCGATGGGGCACACGGTGCTCTTTCTGCCTCGTTTGCCACACTGAATTTGTCAGGATAAATTTCCACAAGGCTCCATTTACGAACAGAAAGGGCAATTAGATTTGATGCCATGCGGTGCCCCAGGCGTGAAACTGTCTCTCCAGATCTGATCTGCAATCCATTATATCAATATATTCTCAGTCCCTACCTGCTTGTGTACATGCACACAGATATATAATCTAATTTTGCAGATGGCTCTCGCGGGGAGCGAGAATCTGTCCTGGAAGCTAAAGGTTTTCAGAGCAGGGTTTCACAGCCTTTCACTGTCTTTAGAAACCGGGGTGCACCGAAATGTTTCTTCGCTGGGAAAGCTTCAAGTCTTCCGGGGAGAAAAAAAACAGAGCGAGATCGGATCAAGGAGAAGGTCTGTATTCTGTAGCAAGAAGGTCTGGCTCAAATATTTAGGCTGCAGGTCAGGGATGGAAGAGAAGCAGCTTTTGAGGTGGAAGGCAACTAGATTCAAAGGAAAAGCCACAGGAATGGATTTGTTGGGAGGAAGCAGAATAAACCCTGGGAACAGTGAAGCGGAGATGAAAAAAAGTTTCTCTGTGCAAACTGGAAGATAGATCCCCCAAATCATTGCTATCTTGCAACATTGCCCAAGAGTCTCACGCTGTCTTAGCATGAATTCTTGAGAATTTAAGATCCTTCTCTTTTGTAGCTGTGGGTTTATTCTGGCAACTGCCCCACGGCCGTGAAATCCAGAACCTCTTCCCTTACACAACCTCAATTCATGTATTTTTGCAAAAAAACAGCCCGCCTGCCTTTTTCTTCCCCGTGCCGGACCCAAAAAAAAAAAAAATCTTAACCTAATTTCCCCTGCAATCCACTGACATCATCGTTCTCCTCTGAAAAGAAATAAAATACAGTTTTGCTCTTCTAACTATCCGCTCGTACGTCTCTCGGGCGCTCTTTGCAGGATGCAACTTAGGTTTTTAAAAACAAACCACGCCGAAGTTCTGATCTAACTTTAGTTTGATCCTGGAAGACGATAACGCTCGCCCCGTGTTCTTGCAGACAAGCTGCCGGGCTGCAGCTGTTTGTCGAGCTAAAGTTGGCCGTGAATTTCGACGCTTGGTGGGGAGAAGGGGGGGTACAGGAGGAAGAGATCTGTGACTCACTTAATCTTGTACGAAGCCAGGAAGTTGACGTATTCCGCCTCGGAAGGTAGGAGCAGAAGCAAGCTGTTCCCGGGGCTGCCGATCCGAGCTGTTCTTCCAATTCGGTGGACGTATTCGGCCAGCGAATTCGGTGGATTATACTTAAAGAAAAAGGACAGGCGAGCGAAGTGGAGAATGAATTAGCAGATTGCACGAGTGATTCATTAGCGGGTCGGAGATCGTTTCAAAAAATAAATCCCCTAAACAGCCCCGCAGCGCCCTTTGGGGGGAAGAAAAACAAAGGGGCGAGAAAGGAATTGGCGATCGGTCACTGCTAAGGCCTACCGAGGTTTTTTGACATCCGAAAAAGACACACTGCATGACTGCTTTCTTTTTTAAAAGATCATTTCCACCTGTTTCACTCAGTTCAGTCAGGTTAGTGCTACCTTACACCAGTACAAGAAACGTGTCCATAAGGGATCTGTAAACACCTCTCAGTCTATCTTAAGAAAAACCAGTAAGTAAAATTTGAGAAAAATTAAAATATAGCTATAGAAAAACCAGACTAGGACCCGTGAGTAAAATCCAAAAGGAGCCATCTAGGTCTCGGCTATAAATGAGATAGTATCACCTAAAATGTGTGCCTTCTAAAATGACAAAAAGGTGATGATATCTAACATTTACAGTGTGACTATTCCTGAAGTGACCTAAAATGGGATAATAGCTAAAAGGTGATGTTTAACTCAGCACTTCAGAAAGGCTTGGCAGCTTTGAAGTCCCTGAAATGTGATCTAATGTCCTATATAGCTGGCCCAACCACCCTCAGCTGCCTTTATGGTCCTCGGTGCCCAACGTTTGCACTTCAGATTCGGGACCCAGCACTGCTCTAAGAAGTGTTCATGATGGGATACGGGATGAAGAGATCATTGGTTGTAAACTAAGAGGGGACGAAGAGTTCCAAAAACTGTTCATCCTTGTGGTGATGAAGGTTGGAAGTAACTTCTTTATATATTTCTTTTCTCTCTCTTTACTGTATTCTTACTCCTTTCCTTTCTTTTCCTTCCTTCCCTTCCTCCCTCACTCCTTCCTTCCTCTCTTTCCTTTCCCTCCCCTTCATTCCTTCTTTCTTTCTTTCTTTCTTTCTTTTTCTTTCTTTCTTTCTCTCTTTTCCTTCCTTTCTTCCTCCTTCCCTTCCTTCCTCTTTCCTTTCCCTCCCCCTTCATTCCTTCTCTTTCCTTCCTTCCTTTCCTTTCTTTTCCTTCCTTCCTCCCTCCCTTCCTCCTTCTCTTCCTCTTTCCTTTCCCTCCTTCATTCCTTCTCTTCTCTTCTCTTCTCTTCTCTTCTCTTCTCTTCTCTTCTCTTCCCTTCTCTTCTTTCTTTTTCTTTCTTTCTTTTCCCTCTCTCTCCCTCTCCCCCTTTCCCTTCCCCCCTTCCTTCTCTTCTCTTTCTTTCTTCTATATTTTTTTCTTCTCCTCTGCACCTTTCACTCTTTCTTTCTATTCTTCTTTCTTTCTTTTAGTTTGTATTAGATTTTTCTATTGTAATTAAAATCCTTGCTGAAAAAGATATATGTAAAATAAAAAAAGAAGTGTCCACACTGGGACAGTGCAATAAAAGAAGACTAAAGAAGACCACTTACCTGAACAATCCAGGTGACTTGGGGTAGATCTAACCCACGAGCAGCAACATCCTGTTAAAAAAAATTCAGAAAGTTCTCTGTTGTTGGCCTAATAAGGTGAAGATGTGTTTTTTTTTTAACGATTCTGGAGACCTTTAGTTAAAAAAACTCCTGAAAACTCCTTGGTTATTGGTGAAAAGACCGGCCAGTTTGTGGGTCCACAAGAAGAAAGAAAATTTAAAAATCTCCCTCTTCGTGTACAGAGCAATGTGTTTGTTCTAAATGGGGACTAGTTCAGCAGCTGGAAATGTTGCAACTCCACCCCTTTCATCTCAATAAATCTTGCTGAAGAAAACTTGGGGAGAATTGTGTTTTAAAAAAAAGTTGCTTTGGGTTTAACAGGCAGAGAAAAGGTTGTCCTGGGGTATTAAAAATTAAAAATTCAGGCATTTTAAGGGGCAAAATGGCTTAAATACTTGTTTTACCTTTGGGGAACTGCAGTTCCCCCCAAAGTGTAAAAAAAGGCTCATGTTGCTGGCCCCACCCACTTTGGGAGGTGCTCTGGGGGCTCCACCCACCTTGGGAAGGGCTCTGGGCTACCTGTGGTCCTGAGGCCACCCTTTCCAACAGATTCTCTGGGTCACTCAGTTCAAATGCAGGGGGGTACCTTGGAAGGACAGCTTAGAAAAGGCCAAGAAAATGGATTGTGGTTCTAAATGACGATAGAACTGGAGTGTCCTATAGAGGGGGCGTGGGGGGACATTTTGAGCTGGTGCCCAGAAACGAACTGGCATCTTGGGGAGGAAGAGGAAGAGGGGAAATATTTCCAGCACTCGCTAAGAGGTGATATGCCAGCGAAGGCAGCCCTCAAAATTCTTCGGTGACCCTCGCTTAAAGAGGGACCATCCAGATCAGGCGAGATTTCTTGCATCTCCGGATGCTGTTTCCAGCGACACACACCCATTTGCCTCCATGCCCGCAGTTTAAGGTCAGCCGCGTTTTTATAATTCAAACAATGTGCATCTTATGGTTGCTGGATCTGGCAAAGACTCCAGCTTGAGGCGGGCGGAATCCCTCTTTTTCAACTGACACTCGGGGAAATTCCTGTGCAATAATCAAATGAAAAGAATTTTTTTCCCCTTTCTTCTCCCTCCCTCTTCCTCCCTCCCTCCCACCCTGCCCTCCTTCCTTCCT